ATATAGTTATGCTTTAGCTATCCATGCACAATGCAATCAATCAAGTGAGACTATATACCGCTAAAAGATTGTGTTCTAAACTGGCCCGTTTTACAGCGGATAAACTTTTTACAGAGACTGTCGCGCGACAACCACCTTAAATAAATAAATACCGAAAAAAATCTCTCCAAAATTAAAAAAATCAACATTAAATATTTTAAATTGCATACAAAATAGAAAATTCACTGGATTGTCAAGTAATTTTCGTTCCCTTTTAAAAAAAGCATGTAACCTTTTTTTGTCAGCTGTTTTTGGCGCTATGCATATCAAAATATATCTATATAATATGATATATATATATATAATACATATATATACAAATAATAGATATAATATATGATACATATAATTATATATATATATCAATTTATGGCGCATAGCGCGCCATATACGCTAGTGATAATAAAATGAATGAAAAGTAAAATAAGTGTCGAAATGTCTCACTTAAAAATCATCTACACAGATTTATCTAGATGTCACAATTACTTCCAGATAATGGCGTATCCCTGAGTTCTGTCCTGCGCACTAGACACTGCGCACACAAATGTGTACATAGATCTCTCTACATACCCATCCATATGACCGAACAATTGGTTTTGCATTGAGGTTTGAGCCCTGTGTAACGTGTATCACACCATGTGGTATATTTAAAAAATAAAAATAATAATAAATAAATCGCTCTGATGGTAAGTTCTGTATTTCCCTAGACTGAACTTCAGTTCACGGACTGTTGGAGGCAGCTGTTAAATCGCCCTCTTCCGAAAATAAAGTTTTTCCACATTCTTTGTTCGATTTCTCATTCGACATCAGACCACAAATCGTTATCTCAGGAAATTCAACGAGGATGACGACTATTTCTGGTATTCTGGGTGTCTAACAGTTGGGGAAGAGAGTAGAAATCAGAGAGTGGGAGTTATTTTTCAGTCGTTATCGAACGAGATAGATTTTTTTTTGTGATTAGCCTAGCTGTCATCGAAAATGTCCGACATTAAGAGCATGGAGCATCCCACTCTCAAGGTAATCAGGATAAATTCTCTACTTATCCAGGGAAATTAAATGACAATTATCCTGCATTAGTCATCGATGACGTGATTTTAAAAAATTCTTTTGTCTTCTTAAATATCGATTTATCTCCAAGATTATTGATTTTAGGAGTAAATGTCATAAGAGCATTATTACTGGAAATTTAATAAACTACAAAAAAGTCCTTTGACGATTTTCCTGGAAATGAATGGCTCTCGAGATAAATCGATAATTATGGAAGGTTGATATTGGAGTTGTGGAAATTTATGATTTTTTTGAATTTTCAGGTGCCATATGAATTACTGAACAAAAAATTCAGGACGACTCAGAAAGTCCTGGACAGAGAAGTCTCTCACGTGCAGGCGACAGCCTCAGAGCTCGAGAAGAGCTTGACAACCGAGACTGGAACTCCAGTGGAAACTGGAGAAATAAGTCGTTTGCTGGGAGGAGTTGTGGCAAAACTCCAGGTGCTCAAACGAAAAGCTGAGGAGTCGATTTCCGAGGAGCACCAGGCAGGAATGGTGTGCAAACGTCGTCTCGATCACTTGAAGGATCATGCCAACACGACTCCAAGTGTTGTTAATCAGTGGAGGAGACAGAGGCTGGATAGAATGTTAGTGGAGTATTTCCTGAGGAAGGGATACTACAAGACAGCTCAGAAGCTAGCTGATACCACCGAGCTCAGGGATCTCACCAACATCGACGTCTTCATGGTGTCCAGGGAAGTGGAGATTTCACTGGCCAATCACGAGACCACCAGGTGTCTAGGGTGGTGTCACGACAACAGGTCTCACCTTTTTTCTCCTCTTCTTTCAATCATGAGATTATTCTTCTCCTTCATGAATTATTTCTCTCTTTTCTCTTCTTTCAACTCCAATTTCGACACTGAAAAAGGAAATCTAGTGAATTGGAATTAATGAATAGTCACTAACACGTAGGTGATTGCGAGTGCTCAATATCGAATTCAATAATTTTTGGTAAAACAACTAATTAAAATTTTGGAGTTCAATTGTAACTTTAATTTTTTACAAGAATTCAAATTTGAAATTAGCATTCACTAAAATATAATTATATCCATTTGCCTTTGTATATCAAAATTAGAAAAATATTTTTTAATTTCTCAATGGCCACAGAAAATTAATATAATAGAATTGAATAATTCATTTGCTGTTTTGATTTTATACATATATTTTTTTATTTTCATTACATATTTGTTAATAAACAGTAAATTAGGGTGAATTAATTAAAAGTTTAAATTAATCAAATAGTGACTTCCAAATCCTTTTTATTCTTAATCAAATTTATTAAAAAAACGATTGTTAATCGCAAACAAATAGATTTACTACATTTCACTAAATTCTTCTCTCAGTGTATCTTAATTTGTCGATTCAGACTGATCCTCTGGATTTTAATGATCTTATAAACAATATAAAAGAACAATAAAACAGGTCGAAGCTGAGAAAGCTGGGGAGCACGATGGAGTTCAATCTTCGAGTGCAGGAGTTCATCGAGCTCGTGAGGGCTGATCGCAGGCTCGATGCTGTCAAACATGCTCGCAAGTACTTCGCCAATTACGATGACTATCAGCTCCAGGAGATACAGAGCTGCATGGGACAGCTGGCATTCCCTGCTAATCCGTATTTCAGCCCTTACAAGGATCTCCTGGATGAAAAGAGGTGACAATTCCCTTCATTTATTTATTAAGCTCTCCGTTAAATAATTATACGAAAATCTCTTCATTACAAAAGTTATTATTATCATTGTTAACTACAATTATTAAATTATTATTATTACTATTATTAACTATTGTTGTTAAATTCACTTCTATTTTATTTTAATTTATTTCTTTAGAATGAAAATATAATTGTTGAAATTGAAATTTTGCAATTTTTAGGGCACGTCCACCGATTATTACTAACAAATTCGGAAATATGTGTAGCAACAAAAAAAATCATCTCTAATGGGGGCAATATTAATATAATAATATTTCAATATCACATTATTTAATTATTGTATTATCTTTTTTTTATTTTAATATATTTTTAGATATTAAAAATTTTTGAGTTTTTTTAGGATAACTAAACAAAAACGTTATCTTATTGTTTACTAATTATTTCATCCATAAATAAGAAAAATTGCCGAAAATTTGTGATGTGGAAATATTTGAATTCTGAATCCGTCAGGGGATATTCTATTTCAATTCAATTTGATTAGAGCATCAAACGATAGCTGTTGAAATCAGAAGACAATTACCGTAGCTCCATATCCATATCTTTTTTTCTAACTGAATTGTTCATGGTTTTTTTATGTAATGAAAGAGGACTTGTTTAATTTCAATCACTAGTTTTATTTAAGATTTTTATTGTTTTGGCAGATGGGACAGACTAATCGAGCAGTTTCGACACGAGAATTATCGGCTTTTCCAGCTGGCTAGCCAGAGTGTCTTCACAGTTGCCCTCCAGGCAGGATTATCAGCGTTGAAGACACTCCAGTGCTACAGCGGACACAAGGAAGGAAAAAATGCCAGCTGTCCAGTCTGCCACGAGGCCCTGAACGAACTCGCTGCACCTCTGCCCTTTGCTCACTGCTCACAATCTAGGCTCGTCTGCAGCATCAGTGGAGAGCCTCTGAATGAATACAATCAACCCATGATGATGCCCAATGGATACGTCTACGGTGAAAAGGTAATCCAGTCTTAACTCATAAAAACTAAAAATCCAAAAATCCAAAAATTTTAAACTCTTCAAATTCAATATTTTTCCTTATTTACCTTAATCTCGAAAGCCATGGATTCCACGGGGAAATGTTAGAGGACTTTTTTCTAGCTAATTAAATTTTCTAGGTAAAAGATCTTCTGGTATTTTGCTGTAAAACCAGTAGTTTTGGGATAAAACGAGAACAAAACTCT